TGAACCATTCAGTATCATCCTAATGATTTATAGCCAATTGTTTCTTTCTTTCTTTCTTTTTTTTTTAAAACCATTCTCCTCCATTATCTGCAGTGCATGGTAAAAGGCTTAAACTAGCAAGAGCAGCCAGTAGATTGCCCAAAGATTAAGACTAGAACTTTTAAAACTCCATTAAGGTCTTTTTGAATTTCAAATAACAATTAAGGTGCAAAGATTTTCCTCAAATGCTTAAAGCTTGAGAAGAGAGGAAATAACTGGTTAGGATTTATATCATGGGCTGATTTGAAGTGAGGAGGAAATAAAATAAAAGCCAAGATGACATCATATGTAAGGTAATTTTTTTTTTCTAAAGTAGATGATCCTGTAAGTTTCTCTGTCTCATTTCTCTCTTGCTGGACAAGGATCTCTCCTGAGAAAGAAAACATCATTTTCTTTGCCAAGTGGCAGATTGCCTCTCCACAGTCTTCTTATAAACTGGTAAAAGTCGTGCAAGATTTAAAATCTGCCACCAGCAGTGACTTTGCCCAGCATGTCAGATCTGGGTTCTCCATGGTGAGCGGACCGAGGTCACCAGGGCAGGCATGGGGCATTCTGCTTTTTAGCAGAATATTTCTAAACATGCCACTTTCTCTGCTCGCCACCCACCCCTCCCTTCCTGTACCTATCATGGAAGAGGGGAACTTGGCTTTGGGCTACTTGGTGAGCTCCTGAGAGTCTCCACACCCCTTCCCCATTTTTGGAAGAAGAAAGGGATTTATTCCGCCCACTTTTCCAGCTGCGAAGATTGTTGGCTTCAAACACTGGCAGTCAGAGAGGAGAGAGATGTGGATTGCCACAAGGAAAGTGGAGTAGGGGTAAGGGCGGCATATTGATTTTCAGCTTCTGATGCTGCCCGCCGTAGATTTTTGCCTCTGGCCTATCCCACAGTGGAATGCGGCCTTTACCGTGAAATGGGGCCATTTCAGGTCAGAACTTTAGTTTTATTTGGCCCATGGCCTTTTAAGTGTGACTGTAGTTATACAAGTAGGAGAAATACACGTGTGTTCATATTTTTTTGGTTGGATTGTTTTGGTTTTGGCAAACCACTGACTCCATCTTGAAAGGTTTGCTCTGTTTGCTTGTTTCTGCATTAGGCATAATAAACAGTTTAGGGCAACTATTGTTTCCAGAAATTGTCCACACTGAAAAGAAATGAGTCTCAAGTTTCCCCCCTGTAATTTTTTTGTCACCTGAGTTATTGAAAACAAATAAACTATATAGTACTACATAGTCTCTTTCAGTCAAAAGGTGGAGGGAAAGGATTTATTATTCATAAAATGAATATATTTTATGGAAATTTTAACATACCCATGGAGTATTTTAGTGCACACAATACATAATTCAAGAAATTATCTTTTCATATTTTCCCTTTTTTAAAAAAACTGTGATTTTAAAGAAATTTTATGGAAAGGTTGGTTTTTGATTCATTCTTTCCATATTTCTTAGGTAAATATTTAGTTAAATTTTTGGAGATGCAATTTGTAATTTTCTTACTAGATTTCATTTTTAGAACATTCATGATGATTTTTTTAAATGCAAAAGGAATATATTCTTGAATAATGTGTTGCTATGTAAAAATCTTTTCAGATACTTTCTCAAGTATTTATAAATATACATACAGATGCAGACATTCCCCAAGTTACAAACATCTGACTTGTACAACTTGTAACTGGGAACCAATCCCTGTAAAGTTTATGATATTAAAGATTTCAGGTACATTGGATGGTTTGTAGTTACAAAGGAATACTATTTTGCAACAAGCTTCAAAACACTTCTTACTTTATTTTGTTAAAGATGTTTTAGTGTATCAGTGTTTGTTAATATTTCATGCACAGAAAGATACAGTTTATACTACATACTAAGACCTTTGAAATTATGAACTTTGATAAATGTTCATAGTTGTAGAGGGGCTTCAGGCCTTTTGTTCATAGGGTCCTATGAGTCGTGCTTGACTCAAAGGCAATCAACAACAATAAGACCTTTTACTAGATGACATACGGTGCTTGTTTCCACTTACGTAAAAACTGAACCTAAAGATAGGTATGAAAACAGAATGTGGTAATAATCTGGCAGCTTACTGTCTATTACTGTGAAACACATGAGGTTAGAAATTGTATTTTTAAGCCTTTCTTGACCTAATTTATTTTTTTAAATATATGTAACAGGAGTATAGAATCATAAAAATTACAAAGCAAACAAGAGACTAGATCTACTGCTATTAAGTGTCTATCATTTCAGACCTTTTTACTGTGCACACTCGTAATGCATGTGCATGCCCATATATACATATATATCCTGGGACTCATTTATATTTTCATTTAATTTTTATTGTTATGCTTCATGAAGATAGGAAAGTTAAGAGTTTATATATGAATGATATTTGTTATTTTTAACTAAGGTATGGCAAAACAATGCACTGCTTTCTACATAGATTGAGTTCCATACATCTATTTTTTTTTCACAGACTTGGGGCATGTTGTTAGGAAAGGCTATTCCTTAGAAAGGGACACTGTGCTTGGAAAGGTGGAGGGTCATCAAAGGAGAGGAAGATCCCCAATGAGATGAACTGACACAGTAACTACAGCAGTGGACTCAAGTGTGTCAGAGACGATGAAGGTGGCACTGGGCAGGTCAGAGTTCAGGGAGAGGGTCGCTGTGAGCTGTCCTTGATGACACCTGGCAACAATGGCAGGAAAAACTTTTTTTAAAGAATATTCTGTCTAGTGTAAAATCAATAATCATGTCATCTTTAACTGTGATATACACCCTTTGATCAGTTATTGATGAGTAAGTTAAAATCCAGCACAGGTCCTTGTGTGAAAATAGAGCATGGCTACATCAAATTACAGAATGGAAAATTATTACATCATCACATACCTACCAAAGGACTGAGAATCATGGCCCTGCCAAGTTGGCACATGTCTTTAACAATCCCAGCCAGTAGTACTTTCACCTCCTACCTCACCATGTGTTAATGTCGAGTAATACTAGATTTTTTACACTATTGTCATAATTGGTTACTAATGAAGTGATCAAGAAATGAAAGGAAACGGATCAGTACTTTCTTAAATACTTTCTAGTTGTTTACAATTTCAGAATGTATTTCTTCATGCTCGTAACATCTAAATCTTGATTACTGCGCACTGTTCTCGCTAATGAACAAAGATATTCATCAAGTGTTAAAGACAAGGCAGAGCCTTGGTGACCCAGCCATTTTCTCAAGATTGAAATATCAAAATCGTTTAGACCATACAATTATTACCTCTGTTGTTTCAAAAGTTTTACTGTGGAAGATTTAAAAGATAGAGAGAAACAGCTGTATTTTAGACTCCCAAATATCATCACCATCACCGTACTTCAACAAATACCAGCTTGTGGCTTGATTTCATCCGTCCCTTCCCTGGGCCTTCTCCACTCCCCTTTTTCCATCAAAGAAAACCCGGAAATTACATTACATCATGAAATATCACAGTTTTTTAATCACACACACACACACACACACACACACACACACTTTTTGTTGTTGTTGTCTTCCATCAATTTGTAACTGACCCTTAGCTGGCCCTTCAGCAGGTTTTCACAGACAGTAAATATCACAGGAGGAGACTGCCCATCCTTCTGTGTGCCTTTGGGACTGCAGTTCAGTTTCTTACCATAAGGCCACTAGACAGACAGATAGACACACACACACACACACATTAAAATTGATCTAGTTACCAACCTATCTATCAATTTATACTCCAGGACTAAGGGTGATTGAGTTGCCAGTTTTTTAAAACTCAGGCTTTCTCTTTTAAGATGCATGTCCCAAATCATCCCGTTCTCCTCATCTCTGCACGTTCATGTTTATGTTTTTATTCGTGCACGAAGGAGTTCCTGTGGTCGAGTCCATTGGGAGTTGTGCAGGTCTCCCAAAGGCTGTGTCTCTTTGGTAGTTCAAACTGGTCAACAATTCCACAGGAGAAAGATGGGCGATCTCCTGGTGATTTACAGCTTTGGAAATGCACTCAAAGATCAGCTGTGAGTCAGTTCTGACTGAATGGCAATATGTTTTAATTTCTTGGTGTGCTGGATTGCTGTTACCTGTTGGTTTACAAATATAATAAGTAGTTATGCAGATTTCTGTGTATCACTGCTACTTTTATATTCCAACAAGATTAAAGACATTGATCAAGTTCTGTATTGTGTTAATGATGAAATGTGTGACTTTGATATAAAGCTTGGTGAATTCTCAGGACTGGAAATAATATCAAATTAGGTTTCCCATGTCTTAAATGTGCTTGAAACATTTGGCCCAATTTTATAAAATACTCTGAATAGAATTAGAACTTTAAAATCAAGTTGGAACTATTTTGTAACTAAAAAAATAACTGATGAGTCGTACATGTGTTAGATAAGACCTAAGTGTCGTATATGACACAGCTCAGTGTCATAAAGACACTGTATCTATAACTCAGCTCTGTTTATACTGGTGAGTTAAAATTAACTCATAGCTGATCTTCCTGTGGGATTTTCGAGACTGTAACTCTCATGGGGAGAGATTAACTAGCTTTCTTCCTAGGAGCCATTGGTGGATTTGAACTCCTAAAGAGGCATGACCTTTGAGTTACTAGCACAACTCCCTACTGCCTAAGTCATCAGAGCTACTGTATATAGTATATACTCAGGGAATTATTTTACCTATAATTAGCTGTAACCTTCCTTTGGACCATGCTGTTTCCCTTCTGCAATAAAATTGTCATTAGTGTTAAGCAGTGGAGTTTGGAAAACAATTCCATTTTAAGAGACCAGAGCTCTCAATTTAAAAACACTAGTTTTGTGGAAACTCTGTTTGCCCCCACCATCTCCTCCCACTCTCCCCCAGCACTTCCCATATCCTCCCGTCTCTTCTTACACTGCTTTGTCTTTGGGGGTATGCCACGTGTGGAAGTCTCATTAAACCAGCATCTGTTTTGTTTTAGGAGAAACCTGATGCCATCCCCACGTCACTTCAGCTGCGGTCCCAGATCGAAGTAAGCACAGTGCCTTTAATCATCTATTTCTGCTTCTGCCTCTTTCCTTGTTTTTAAAAATGTGATGCTCTGTGCACGTCAGATGAAGGCTGTTGTTCCGCCTGCATTGACGCTCGAATCTTCTCTTCTAGGAGTCCCTGGGCTTCAGTAGCACCGCATCAACACCAGAAGTGGAAAGAAAGTAAGTCCGCCCTTCGCCCAGTGTCAGAATCTCCCAGAAAGGGTCTGTCCCTTAAGTCCAGGCTGATGGGAAGCAAGGGGCTGATCGTGTGTGGAAGTCCTGTTGACTTGGAGGTCATGCTCTTCTGTGCTGTGGGCACATGTGTTAGAGGGGGGACGTGTGTGCTGTGTAGTCCAGTGATGCTGTGTCCAAGGACTGTGGAGAGCGAGGCCACACCATGTTTGCCGGTAAATCCTCAAGAAATATGTGGGAATGAGCATGGGAAGAGAGAAAAAGCAGTGCAACCAAATGGACTGTCTTCTTCTACATGAATTCTTTTTTTTTAGGGCTCAGTGGTAAGGAATTGTGCTGCCAATGCAGAGGTACATGGTTCGAGTCCACTAGCTGCTTTGTGTGAGAAAGATGAGCAGTCTCCTTCCATACATACAATTTTTCCCCTTCTGTGTGATTTACAGCCTCTGAAAAGCCGCAAGAGAGACAGCTATGGGTCAGTTCCAACAGGATGGTACACAACAACTACATCAAAGGATAAAACTTGTAAAATACAGCAAGGCATAAATAGGAAATGCATGCTAGACTAGTGCAGCAATTCCATACTCGTCCCTCCCCACTGTGGTAGTTGACCTTGGGAGTGAGCAAGTTTACCAGAGGGCAGGAAGTGCTCTCCAACCTTTCCTGGGCGAGGTCGTGTTTTTACTTCCCTTTCCTGACTTAGCCCCTCTAATTTCTACTCTCATGGAAGGTAATTCTATGTTATACCTATTTCCAGTATTCCTTTGAGGCAACTTTAAAAACAAATAAACAACAACAAAACCACCACCAACCCCCAAACAAAACAAATGGTGTGTGTTGTCACCTCCCCACCCCAACCTTTTTAATTACAATTTCTTTTATTCCATTGCCTGTCTTTTCCCTAGAACTTTCTATTTGTGATATTTGGAGGTAAGGAAGTTTTAAGAAAGCCCAAATCTTTAAACAGACGCTTCCTCTGGCAAGGAGCCACTCAGTTTCCTGCCAAGAGAAGCATAGAAGGATTTAAGAAGAAAGTATTTCAGGAATGAATAGCACACGGTGAGAGGGCGCGTGTGTGTGCTTTACGGCACAGCCCTGCCCAGTCTGCCCAGTGTGTGTGTGCATGTGCTGCTGGCCCCGAGGCAGCCCAGGGAAGGGAAGCCTGCGAACCTGAAGGCGCTCAGCAAGGTTGACCGAGGACAGAGGTGATTCGCCAGGAAAGTATGCAAAGACCACGAGCCTCTCTTCTTTGTGGTTGCACTGTGTCACCCCAGGGACTTGAGAATGTCATGGCTGAAATGCAGTTGACATTCACTAGAAACTAGAGGTAGGATGGCAGGCTCCAGGGGCATTGGATGATTGACACACTTAGCTGTTAACTGGAAGGTTGGAGGTTCAAGTCTCCCCAGAAAAGCTTCAGAAATAAAGCTTGACAGTTGACTTCCTAAACCACCTATCATTGCAAACTACTTGTCTATTTCCAAGAAATGGCCCTTTTTGGCAACATGCTTAAAGTATGTGAAATGAAGCTTTGCCATCCTTGCATCTAAGGAGACAAAGAACTCTGGTTCCCTGGAAAGGTGGAGGGTCAGCGGAAGAGAGGAAAACCTCAATGAGATGGAATGACACAGTGACTGTGGCAGTGGGGTCCAGTGTGCCCGGGGTGGTGGTGAGGGCACAGGATAGGGCAGGGTTCAGATCTGCTGTTCATAAGATTGCTTTGAGTCCTTCTTGACTCAATGGCACATAACAACAACAACAACAACAACAACAGGCTTCATGAAGCACAATTCTAGTTGACATACGGGGGGTCACCGTGAATTAGAATCGACAGTCTTTGTGTTATGGTGGTGAGGAATGGAGCACTGGGCAGGGGCGACACATGAGTGGCCTGTTTCTAGGTCTTGCTTACACCATGGTCACATTCTTGAGTATTTGAATGTCCTCACTCAGGCCAGAACTCCGGCCTCTGTTGGTGTCACTGAATCCTTTCGGCAGCGAGAGGGACTGACTCACCACACTTGTTCTAACCTTGGTCGCTTCCCCTCAATGTGGGAGATCATTCTTTCCATGTGTTTAGCCTCCACTTAGTAAAATGTGGCGGGGCTCCTGTGGCCAAGAGAGCGACTGTTAGTCTCTGCTGAGGCCGACAGAAAATTGAAAACACACATACTCACGCTACGGACAACTCCCAGCCTTCCCCCTGCAAGGCCATTTCACCTTTGTTCTTGCAAAATAGTCTATTGGAACTCAGTGTTTCCGAGCCATTTTAGTATTTTCACTCCATTGGTCTTCATTTCTCTGTTACTAGAACTTGATAAAAGGTGACACTCTTCCCCTCTTTCCATTTTCAAAATGGTTCTGAGCAATTTTTAAATGTATTGAAATGTTATAAGAAAGGTACAATGAACCTGCATGTAAACTTCACTTCACTGACCAATTGCTGGCATTCACATGTTCCTGCTTTCTTTTTCCTATACATGTATGTAAATTCTGATGATGATGATGATGATGATATTACTATCTGAGAGGAAGTTGGAGACATCATGGGCTTCACCACTAACCACCTGAGCACGTTTGTCCTCAGGACAAGGGCTTTATCTCATTGCCATCAAGTCACCCTAGCAGCCGATAGGAAGTTGCCAACCCAAAGGCCGCACCTCTGCTCAGGTCTGAATCCACCAGGAACTCCACAGGAGGTAGATGGGCCATCCCGATGACAGTGGGTTTTGAATTTGAAGGCAGAAAAGAAACATCACCATACGTTTGCTGCAGCTCCAAACCTTCACCACAGTCATCACAGCTGCCAGATCTTTCTCATGTGGGTGGAGCAGCTGCAGAGTTCAAATCAGCCACGTCGTGATGGGCAGCTGACTGTTTAACCACTGCAACACTAGGGCACCTTCTTACAGAACCAGAATATATGAGCAAATCAAGGAGATTATCATGAGCTTTTTCCAACATCAGAAACATCAGTAGCCTAGTGCTTCTGAACCAAAGCACCGAGGTTTGCATCCAAGAGTAGCTCTTCAGGAGGAAGACAGACAATCTCTTTCTGTGCGATTTACAGCCTGTGAAAACCTGTTGGGGGGTCAACTATGAGTCAATTCTGACTTGATGGCAATGAGGGCTTTTTTCCCTTCTCTAACACCCAGTTCATCTTTAAGTTTCTCTGCCCTGGTAAGAACTCTAATATTTCCTTCTGCTCAGTTGCTTGTTACTTTTTTACATGCCATGTCTCTTTTGTCACATTTAATCTGAAGGGGGTTTCCAGTCTGTCTCTTGTATGCTATTGACTTTTTAAATTTTACCATTTGGCAAAATGCCCTTTGACTTGGGCTTCATTGGTTCTTTTGTGAATTTATGTCATGTGTCTCTTGTGCTGTGTTTTCAGTGCTTTGCACCACATGACACATGACATCAGTTTGTCCCATTGTGCAAGGGGCTCAGGTCTTTTATATCTGGTTGCTTTCTTACATGCCATGATTCCTTGGAGAACCATGATGTAGTTTTCCCTTTGAATTAATAAATAATCTGTGGGGAGGTAACTTGAGATTGTGTACAAACCCACCGAACTTTTACCTAATGGCTTTAACATTCTTTACATTTTCTTGCATGCTTGATAAAGTACCAGGTCAGTAGGAAAGAGAAAGACGCTCAGTGAGGTGGATTGACACAGTGAACGGAGCTGTGGGTTCAAGTGCTTCAGAGAAGGTGGAGACAATACAGGGGCCGGCAGTGTATTGTTTGGTTGTACATGGGGCAGTTATGAACCAGCTTGATGACACCTCATAACAACAACTCAATTATTAAGGAGTCACTGATGGTGCAACAGTTAAGCACTTGGCTGGTAATAACCAAAAGATCAGTAGTTCAAACCCACAGGTCACTGTATAGGGAAATAAGTGGTGGTCAGTCTGTTTCCTTAGTAGCTCTATGGGACAGCTCTCCAGGGTCTTTGCTGAGTCAGAATCAACTCAGCTGGCCACAGAGGAAATAAGTTACTATTGTGATGATAGTAAAGGACTGCAGCCTTCAATACAGATTGAAGCTCAACATCAAGAAAACCAGGATTCTCACCACTGGGCCAACTGGCAGCATCAGTATGGATGTTGAAGAGATTGAGATAGTTAACAGTTTTAGTTTCCTTGGCTCCACAGTCAACACTCTTGGTAACAGCAGCCAGGAAATCGAGAGATGAATTGCATTGGCAAAGTCAGCTGTCAGGGACCTCTCAAGAGGACTGAAGAGCTACAACATGAGGCTGGAGACTAATGTGTGCTGGATCCAGGCTATAGTCTTCACATTTGTGTGCTATGCATTGGCAACCTGGACAATGACTAGGGATGATGGAAAGAGAATTGATGCCTTTGAGCTGTGGTGCTCGAGAAGAGTGTTAAATTTACCTTGGACTGCAAGGTCCAAGAAGAAGAAGCAGGCTTGTCCTAGAGAGGGTGAAGCCAGGCTGCTCCTTGGAGTCAAAGATTCTGAAGCTTAGTCTACACACTTTGGACATTTTGCAAGGAGGGACGAGTCCTTGGAGAGGGATGTCATGCTTGGGAGGGTGGAGGGACAGCACAGGAGAGGAAGACCCTTGATGAGATGAATTGATTCTGTGATTGGGGTGGCAGGAGAAGGTGTGTCAGATAATGAGGTTGGCACAGGATAGAGCGGGGCTTAGGGCTTTTGTACATAGGTTTGCTATGAGTCTCAAGTGACTCAACGGCACATAACGACAACAACAACAACATTGCGATCATGACTCATTGATAATAACCCTAAATCCCAGTGCTGCCGAATTGATTCCATGATGACCCTCCATCTAGTTTTTGAGGCTGTGAATCTTTGTAGGACAAGAACAGCTCGTGGTTCTTCCTGGGAGTGGCTTGTGGATTTGAATTACCGATCTTGTAATTAGCAGCTCAACAGGGATCTTTATGAGACATAGTTGTAAGTCAGCATTTTGGCAATAATTATGAAAACATCTT